AAATCCAAATGTAATTAATGTTGTTTCACTGCAGTTGGGTCTCTGTTCTGTGTTCACTTTTATGGGTAGTAGGAAGGCAGACATTTGGTCTTTCACAGATCTTTGATTTCTTTCTTGCCTGTCCAACACTGATGTAAATACAGCTTATTTCTGAAATTTAGACTACAAATATATTACTGTGGCAGACTGCTGGTTAGGATGAAATGAGTGACAGAGTAAAATTTAAAGAACCATCAGCTTTGTATTTCCTATAATGACCACAAGAACAAGTAGGCATATATATCTGATATTAACAGAAGTAGGAATTTAATAAAAGCACCATGGGTAGCATTCAAGCCCATATTCCAAGCCTGACTCTATACAGCTAAATATAAACACGACAAATATCTGAAATATCTGAAAGGGACAGGCAACTCCAAGGCAAAAAAACCCATATATATAAAAACATATTTTCTCCTTCAAGGGCTTAACTGAAAGCTCATGAAGGAAAAAATGTGCACTGGATCTGTCTCTTGGTTATCATGAGGTAAACTAAATGTTGGTTTCCTGTACTGTTCATTATGTCTATGTTTATGTGAAAGAACAGAGCAAGGCAGCCAGTCCTGTCTGCATCTCCATGTTTTCAACTTCTGCCTTTTTTTTTTTTTAGCTTTCTTCTTTGATGTTATCTCACCATATTTAAGAAAAGCTGTTACTCAATAGCAGGTGCAAGCATGAAGGTACCTATTTTGGAATCATATGAAACATTTCTGATTCATCCTTAAAGATATATGAAACTAGATTTATTTTTTAGTCTTTTTCTTTTTTTCCTATTGACAGCACAGGCATCAGGGATAGGAAAAAAAAGGTTATCAATACACTTTCTTCTTCACAAAGGGTTAAGTAGAAATACCCTGTTCAAAAAATAAATCATATTCAACCTGTTCCCTCACCCCACATCAAGGTTTTGACTTTGTACACAGAGAAAAAAATAGAATGTATACAACAATCTAGGCTTATAATACCATTACAATTGTTGGGAAGCGATAATAGAATATATATGTGGAAGTTACCAAGGAAGATTTGCTTATATTAAAAAAAGATAATAAAACCAAGCATATTTAGATTGCGCCCTTCATAATGAAAAGGTATCTTACCTGATAGGCATCTAGCTGTTCATCAGTAAATATCGTTTGCTTATTACCCATCTTAAATGAGGAATTCTTCCTCTATGCAAATGCATCCCATTGGAAGTTGCCGGATTCCTCTGTACTGCAGGCATTTAGAGCATGTACACACCGTGAATGCGCCAAAAGAATCCCAAGGACTGCATTGAACTGCTTTGGACTTCACCTCTCCAAGGAGGGCGGAAGCAGTAGCGGGGAATCTTTGCAAAGGCTGGACTGAAATCGTGCCAGGATGGAAAGCGTTAAAGTCACACACAGGTATCGCCCAAACAGTGAAGCTCCTCTTCCTCCCTTTCTTTTTTTCTGAGGCACACAGAGCTTTAATATAACATTAAAAAAAGAAAAAAGGAGCAGCCGGTACCAGGAGAAACCAGCTCTCTCCTGCCTCAGTGCCTCACTGGCTCCACAGCCCTGCGACGGGCTCTTCAGGGCCCTCCCCTGGGCACCTGCACATTTTGGAGCAGCTCTGCGTCACCAGACAGCACTCGCCAGCACAGTCGTATTCGAGCGCACACGCACGGAAGAGCAGCCGGCAGAGGTGCCATTTGAGCCGTCACTCTCCCCACAGATATAAACACATCCTAGTGAGCACTTGCAGCTGACCTGCAGCCTATGCCAAGATGAAATATGGCCAGAGCTAACACCCTATGTTGCTGCAGGGGCTGCACAGCAATCGCTCACTTCTAGCTGTGACTACATCCAGCCTGGGCTATCTAAGATATCAGTTCACTGGTATCATGGATATCAGTATCGTGCCGTTAGATCTGCTAGTGAAGGTGAGTATTCCTTCTCGCATTTCGTTTGTGGGAAAAAAGACCCCTCCTGCCCCGCCTCCACACACCGGGATATTAAATTCAGTAGTTTAAATGCAAGATAGTCTGACCAATTTCAGCTCAGGCAAGCGCTGCTGGAAAGCAAAAGCAGCCCAAGGCAAAGGTACAGAAAGCAACACAAGGCAGTCCTCACAGGAAATTTTCAAGGAACGCCACCTGATTTTTGTACTTCTGGAGGGGAGACGCATAGGCAGCCTGTCAGACAAGCAGCAGAAACAACATCTGCCAAAAAATTGCAATGTCCAATATCTGCAGAAGGAGAAGCTCTTAGAGCAACAGTTGGAAGAAGGCTGGGTAAGGATGGAAACCAGGAGGAAAGACCTGTTATGAATATGTCGCTTTTGATTGCTCACTTCCCATGCGCATAGCAAGGAGAGAGGGCTTATAAATATTTAATAAAACCCCTACTTTCTTTACCTTCAGACCTGGTCAGTGATCATTATTTCCTCATTAAGTTGGCACGGTTACTGAAAAGCATGCTGAAAAATATCTTCTGCTTCCCCTACAGCTTCTGATTATCCTAACCTGGTAACAGCAGTGAGTAACGCGAGTTGAATTTGCCTTGACACAGCAACAAACAGCATTTAGTAGGAGCACTGAAAGTAAATGTGTTGCATATGTAGTAAAAAACATATGCTATGAAGTGCTAAACTATAGAGTGTTTTAGATGTTTTATTTAGACTGTAACATTTAGAAATACAGATCAGATTAATTGAGAACTGGTACTGCCTGGTGTTGTAAAAGCACAATGTACTAACACTCACAAAAAAAACAGCTAGAGAATGCATTCAGGGGGGCTTATTAGTGGAAATACAAATATCAGAAATTTAACAATGAAATGAACAGATAATATTAATAAAATATATTTAGTCAATAGCCAAATATGAAGAAGCTAGAGAAAGAAGTATAATTAAAAACTCTGAATGACCTACCAGCATATTAAAAGAAAAACAAATATCCACTCAAATAGCAGATGACTGAATAATCCATCATTTGTCACATGGCAAACTGACCTCTGTTTTTCCAGCCACAAGCGTTTATTTTTCCAAGATACAGTGACATTAGATTCTTTTATGCTCAAGAAGTTTCTTTACAAGGCAAACAGTGCCACCCACTGAACTGTTCCTGAAAAACTTCACCAGGCTGCCTTTCTTCTATTGCATTATCTAATTCTTTGGGGCATATCAGGGATAACAGGACAGTAATGTGAGTTAGCACCTTGTCAACTAGTTAAGGGCCTTATTAAAGGCTTGAAGATTGCTACTAGTGGAAGCAATTATAAATTACAGCACAAATACATATTTGTAATGATACTCTATTATTTGCTACGAATAATTAAGCCATAGGCTAGAGGGGGTTTGGGTGAATAAACTGAGATCACAATTTCACTTTACAAATAACAAATTTATAATTTGTAAGAAGATCACATGGTTCTGAAGATGCCTAAATGCAACTCAACCTCAGTGGATTCTTACAAATTTAACAGAAGTCATCTTCCACTGCACTTCTTGAATCAAAGAGTCCATGATGGCCCTTTTAAGATTAAGAAAATTTATACTTTTAGAAGTTCTTGCATATTCTCAACTCTGAATCACTTCATCACTAGTTTTATAAGTTATGCCTGAAGTTAAGCACGTTCCCTATCTATGACCAGGTAGTACTTAAATGCAAAGCTAGCAACTGATTTCTGTCAGACCAGACCAGACCATGGTCAAATCAGTGGTATGAAATAGCACTCCTCACACAAGCACCTAATTCCAGTTGCCTGTCTATGCAAATTGGATTAAATACAAATGGCCAAATTATCTTTAATGCCATTATACATAAGTGGATTGATACCATAGATAGATACAGGCTCCATATTTGTTCATCACTTGGCAATATTATTATAGTAAAAAGAGCAACATCTAATTTCTTCATTTCTTACCTGGTTTCATATTCCTGGCAAACACTTAAAAACCTTAGAACTGCAAGCATTGCAAGCTGAGAGAACTAAGCTCCCCACACAGTAAATTACTGGGGCTGCTCATAGTTCTGAATCCTCTTTTACAGGAGCAATGTAAGAACATGGACAAATATTTGGGGCAAGTCAGAAGCAAGGCAAAGAAAACTGAGACATATTCCCTGGTTTTGGGCTTAGGAAAAGGCCCCATCTTCCTGAATGTTTGCCACCAACTCCAGGAAGACCAAAAGTAGTCTCAAACATCACAAAGAAATGTTAAAATCTTTTCAAAGGCAAAGGTCTTGAATTGTGACTTTGTTATCTGAAAGCATATACCTAACTCCACCAATAGCTAGCTCACACACGCCTGTGTGATGTGTACATTTTTCTTGCTATACTTGGCTATCTTTCTATAATAACTGGGTAAAATTTAAAGACAGGGGAATAAGCCAGAAACTTCTTCTATCTGTTTGTATAAATCAAGGATTAGTTTAACTTGCCAGTTTGGTGTGGAGCAATATTTATCTCCATCATAAATTACTGCACCAAATCAATACAGTTTATGTACCCAGCAAGGTTATGGCCTTAATGCTATCAATACTAGTCTTTCACCACACTTTTCACGGCACTGCTTGCCAAACAGACCGATTATTCACATGAAAGCAGGGCAGTATACCCACAATCGCCTATTTACAGCCGCTTTAAAATACATCATTGCATAGCTAAGTAGTTTCTGTTTGGGTCAGGGAACAGAAAACACACTGCCAGCTACGTAGCGGGCTCTCCTGTTGCACAGCAGGCCCCGGGCCAGCGCGGCCCGCTCACCCGCCCGCAGGCCCGCGCTCCGGCCCGGCTGCCGGGCGCCGCTTCCCGCTCTCCCGGCCGCCCTGGGCGCCGCTTCCCGCTCTCCCGGCCGCCCAGGGCACCGAGCTTAGGCTGCAGCTACTGCTGGGAGGGACGCTGCCAGGCACAGCCTGCTAATGTTCCCCTAGTATAATTAGGGCTATAGGGATAATTAGTAGAGATGTAAGCTCCGTAACTGCCACTGAGTGGTAATACCTTAAATGCGCTAGCGGCCACCTTTTGTCTCGCCGAGAGGAGCCCCTCGTGCCCGGGGCGAGCACCGACTTCGCCACGGCGAGCCAGGGCAGCTTCGGTTTTGCCTGGGGAAAGGGCTCGTTTCTCCCCGCCTAGCCTTGTGCTTTTCCCTCAGCGAAACGAGCCCCTGGTGCGAGCAGGGCACCGCTCGAGGGTGCCGGCGGAGCGCCAACCCGCGGAGCCGCTCTCGGCGGCGACGACTCTACCAACACCTCCCAGATTACCCACACACCTCCATCCCACGGGCGGCGCCGCGCGGGCGCTTTTAACGGCCGCTAACGGCCGCCTCTAACGGCCGCGAGGGGGCGGGGCGGAGGCCGGTTCCGGCGCGGGGGCGCTCGGGTTTCGCTGCGCTCGGAGCATCATGGCCGCGGCCGCGTGGATGCCTACGGTAAGCGAGCGGGCCCAGTCCCCGCCGGCGGCGCCTGACCTTGGCGGGGCCGGCGGCGCCGCCAGCGGGCGCCGCGCGGGGAGCATTAAAGCAGCCCGCACAAAGACGCGCTTGTAACGATGCCTGGTTAATTAGTAGGAGTAATTAAGCCGCAGGCGCGGACGGGTTTGGTCGCACCGCGGCTTTACCGGGAGGCCGCGAGCGCCGGGTCGCGGCTGCAGCGCCGCGAGGATCCCGCCGCCCGGGTAGGCCTCGCAGCTCCCGCAGGAGACGGTGACTTTGGGATCACCTCCGCAGCCTGGCCCGCTCCCGGGAATGGCGTCTCCGCGGCCGGGAATTCCGATCCCGGAGCTCTTCCCAGGTGGCGGCTGCAGCGGAGGAGTCGTCTCCGTTTTGGAGCTTTGTGCTCCGACTAGTCAGGCATCAGCAAGCGTAATTCTTCGCCTGGTGTCGTGACGGTTTTCGTCGCTGTGGGGCTTTTCAGCCGCACGCAGGAGGGAAATGCACAAAACACCTAAATATTAAAGGTTTAAGAACAAAACTCCCACGAATTCCAGTGAAACGGAGGTCACGCTAATGCAAAGCAGTCTTCAAAAGACTCCCCAAAATGTGTAATCGCGGTTAGCACCAATGAAATTTTCACGTTTTTCTCCCTTTGCTTCTTACGAATCTTGCACCTCAGCACGTTATCCCTCTAGCCGCAGTCATCGCAAGGTTATTTTTAATGTGTGGTATTTAAAGGCCTAGGCCACTGTGCAACGGTTTCCCTTGTCCCCGGGCAAGATAAGAGGTTAGGATGCACTTCAAGCCGGGCTGTCCCGGGTTCACCTCGTGCTAAGAATACCCCCACGGGGCATGAACGCACAGAGTGTTGTACAGCCCTAGATTTAATCTCCGGCGGGTGCACAAATGAAAACGAAACTGTGATCCTTAAAACACAGAACTGCGGAAATATCAATGGCTTTTGAACATCCGTTTGTGCAGTAAAATGGTATCTTTGTGTTCTTACAGGTCTCTCGATTGCTAGGTGCTTTCAAAAACCAAAAACAGGTGACCAGAAGTTTTGGTAGTGCTGTGAGTATAATAGTACCTTTCTTTTCTTTTAAGAAGTTTCTCAAGAAAGGACCTCAGCAATTTAAGATCTTTGTCTTATTTTTACATTCGCAAAAAATAAGGCCCAAGTAAGTGAGCGTGTGTGCTCCTAATGCCATGCTGGACTAATATTGGTTAATTACGGTCTTTGGGAATTGCATATTTATTACAAAAGAAGCAATAAGCTAAGGCAGGCTCTAGCAAAGATAGAAGCGTTAGCAAAGATGGAAGCGTTATCAAAATTTTTCACAAGATCTGGACATAAAATGGTTCTTTTGAACCTCATACAAAATGGGCAAATTAGAATAATTGTTGAGAACCTTCTATTATTTTTATTTCATTTTGCAGACTTTCCTGTAACCACTAGATTTACTTTTAAATGCTGCTGCTTTTAGCCTGCCTTTTCAAGGCCCTCTTTAACATGCCTTAGCTGATGATTCTGTATTTCCTTTTGGATGTTTTACTTCCTTTAGTGGCTAAGGTGCCCACAGACCTTGTTCCCAGCACGGATGGCCTTGAAAAGGCCGCAGGCAGATGCAGGCCTCACCCCACTGCATGTTCCCTTGTGTGACACTTAAGTTTGAAGGGAAACAGTGGCTTTTTTATGAAGCTGGTAGGAGAGTTAGTGGAGAAGAGAGACTAAACTAGATCGTGGCTTATGTTGTTGAGAAGGGCTTAGCAGATGGGGCACCTTCATTCTGTTCATATGACAGGAATGTTTCACATTCAGTCTCCTCGAGCTCATCGGTAGTTCTGTGCTCTGAGGCAACTGGAGCATTAAGACAGCACAGAGTCAATATTGGGGACATTTAATTAGTTACGTACTGACCATTGCTGCTGAGCTTGCCAGTCTTTTATCTGAAGCTCTGTGTCTTTTGTTTTGCACAGAGGAACTCTGGCTCTAATTAGTTAAAAAATTGTCACAAAATATCCCTTGAAATTCTGAGTATTTGACATGGAGAAATTCCAAAATGCTTCTTTAATTCTAATAGGGGTTTGCAAATAATGCTGTTATCTGGCCTACTTTTTTTAGGTAATAAAGAGCTCCCAAGGGAGATGTAGGACATCTTTAAGCAAACAGAGAATTTACACAGTAATCATCATGGATTTTTTAAACCAAAATTGAGTACTTTCTTTCCTTGTTACCTAGTGGGCCTGAGCTCTGCAATCTGGTTCATCTGTTTGAAGAGAATAAGACTGGGGAATTCTGCAGACATCATGGGGGAGAGATAATGACATTGTTAAAAATGGGTCTGAGATTTTTAGGATTCATCTGAGAAGTCTAGATAAGCCTGAGATTTAAAGGTAGATTTTTATAAACTTAGTCTTCTCTACCATTGAGTCAGCATCATTGATAATATTGGAGATACATAGGTAATAGATTCTTAACTAGGCAATACTGTCTCTTCTCCAGTTTCCAAGCAGTGAGCATGTTATTCAAGGAGAACTGTGCAGGAACCTGACTCCGAGGTTACACCCTTGTTTTAGGACTAAGTTCATACTAGGCAGATACTTAAATTCTCTTAAAACCTTTGCTGTCCCCCTTGGAAAGCAGGCTGCTCATTCCCGCTTCTGTCCAGTGCTGCTATTCTCTGCACTGATCGCTGGCAACTGGAACCTTCTATTTTTAAGTTCCAGCAGTTGCTTGACTTACGCCTGTAGCACAGGAAAATGATTTCTACATTTCACACACCATTCATTAGTTTGTACTACTGCATTTTTTTTAACCTAGGTGCAAACAGTAACTTTAATCCCAGGAGATGGGATAGGACCTGAGATTTCTGCTGCTGTCATGAAGATCTTTGATGCTGCTAAAGTGAGTGAACTGAATTTTGAATCATTTCAAATTTCAAATGTCTGCTGTCTCTTGAAAACATTGCTGTAACAGCTTGAAGGAAGCAGTGTGAGCATGCAATTCTAAAGATATCTGTGTATATGACGTCTGGGATCCAAGCTTATACTGATATATTGCTCATACTGTACACTACTATGCTATTCAAGTATCTCATGCTTAGTGGTACTCACCAGAGGGAAAATTGCTTAGAAAAGTGTCAGTAAAATTCCTTACACACCTGGTTGTGGGAGGAGAAGCTGGAAACAACAGTCATGATATTGAAGCTAACTCAGGACAAATGTATTTAGGCTCCTATTCAGTGGGAAGAAAGGAATGTCACGGCTATCCAAGGACCAGGAGGAAAGTGGATGATACCTCCAGATGCCAAAGAATCTATGGATAAAAACAAAATGGGATTAAAAGGTAATTTAAGGGTCAATAGAAAGATAAGATACTAAATATTGTTGGTTTTATTGTGAGCCTGATTTAAAAGTCATCTGTAGCGCAATAAAATGCCTAATGATAGGGGCCAGTGTGTCACATAGTCTTTTGCAGTCTTAAAACTGTCTCCTTCATTCCAAGGCCATAACTGTCAAAGGTCTTCTAGGAAGTATGTGAAGGAAGGGTGTCTTACTAAACATTAATCTGTGGACCACGTGCAGAAAGCACCTCCAGGACTGCTGATACACAGCAGTTATAATTAATCACTAACACCTTCAAACCTTTTACCACTTACTTTCCATTGAAACCTTCCATACAAGCTCCTACGTGGAGTCAGGGTCACAACGAGGCCCTTAAAGAGCTGGTTAATATCAGTGCACACAGTGTGTCTTGATGGCACAGAGGATTCCTCCCCATTCAGTGGGAGTTTGGAGTTCTCCTGCAGGAGTCTCACAGAATTTTCCCTGTCATTTGAACTCTAAATTTATGGAGGGGCTTATTTGTTCACTTTTTTTTCTTTCTTTTTTTTTTTTTTTTTTTTTTTTTTTTTTTTTTTTTTTTTTTTTTTTTTTTTTTTTTTTAGGGCCTTTAAAAACCCCAATTGCTGCAGGGCACCCATCAATGAACCTGCTCCTGCGCAAAACCTTCGACCTGTATGCGAATGTCCGCCCCTGCGTCTCAATCGAAGGCTACAAAACCCCGTACACAGATGTAAACATTGTCACAATTCGGGAGAACACGGAAGGCGAATACAGTGGAATTGAGCACGTGGTATGTTCCTGGAAATGTCCCGTTTCCTGCAGGGCTGCTGTGTTCCATGAGTGATAACTTTGCCTGTTTAAATTGCCTGGCACTTGGCTAAGTCCTCTAGTGATAAGGAAGTTATTTTCTTGTGAAATGTCATCCCAGCTCCCAACTCTGATTGTCCCAAGCATTCATACTACTGATTTTAAAATTAAGCTTACACTTTTACGAGCAATATAACTACTGTCTTTCAGATCGTGGATGGTGTGGTGCAAAGTATCAAGCTAATCACAGAAGAAGCAAGCAAGCGTATTGCCGAGTTCGCTTTTGAATATGCCCGCAATAATCAGAGAAGTCACGTTACTGCCGTGCACAAGGCAAATATTATGTATGTGGACCCTTGTTTTGAGAAAACAACAAACAGGAATATGTTTTTAACGATAAATAATCATTTTTAATGATAAATAACTTCATTAATCTTCCTCCAGTGTGTAACTGATGTTCTTGCTAGTGGGAGACCTTTAGACAAGGGGGTGAACGTGTCTAGTAGTTTTCTGCTGCAAGCTTAAAACAGCCCTCGCTTCAAGACTGAAACTGTCAGGGACCTTTTAGGAAGTATGTGAAAGAAAAGCATCTTGTTAAATACTAACCTAGACCCTACACAGGAAGCATTTTCAGGGCTGCTGATAAAGAGTAGTTATAATTTTACTCCTAGTGAGTAGTATCCTATTATTTAAAAGCACTTAAAGGAATTTAGAAAGCCTAACTTCTGTTATTTATATTTAACAGAAGGGATTACTAATTAAGGGCTCTCTAATTAAGTTTCTGTGCTCTAGTATTTGTATTTAATCCACTGTTGCATGCAGTCTTATTTATCTTGAGTATTGCTTCCTTTCAATAAGCATACTATTCTCTTGTTTATTAAATTGCAGGAGAATGTCTGATGGGCTGTTCTTGCGAAAATGTCGTGAGGCAGCAGAAAACTGTAAAGATATCAAATTTAATGAAATGTATCTGGATACTGTGTGTTTGAACGTGAGTATTTGCCAGTTTAAGTTCTTATTAATCATTTTATTTTTTAACTTAATGTTAATAAAAGCATACTTCTTTCTAGATGGTTCAGGATCCATCACAATTTGATGTGCTTGTTATGCCAAATTTGTACGGTGACATCCTCAGGTATGGAGAGATCTTTTTTAACTAACGAAGTGTGTAAAATACTGTAAAGTTTCCAGAGTGTAGCCTGTATTCTGGGCAGATGTGTGACTGTTTTGTGCATCCAGAAGACTCCGAGAGTGTTTTAAGATCCTTCTCCATTAGCATTTTCAGCTTTGTGGGTACTGCATGATAACTTTTGTCATAGTGGGGTTGGTCTTTCCCTTGTTAATTTGGAAGGAATTTGGACTTGTGACTCCTAGACTGTTCAGTAAAGACAGGGGAATAACCATTCTGGCATCATATGGCACATACGCCTTAAGTTATATATAATACATTTTAAATCTATTTATAATTGTCTGAGCAAGATTTGGCATGTTTTTAGACAGCCATTACATATGAAAGTAGCTATGTTGTGTTGCCAGGGGAGTAAGACTTTTGGATAGTTACAGGGAACTTGCATTGGAAGTGTTAGATTTTGAGACTTCTGAAAGTATTTTACATTTTGAGGACCTTTTGTTGTACATGGTTTGGTCTCTTTATTCTAGAACTTGGAATTTCCAAATATTTTTTCTTTACTAAGCTCTTTCTTTGCTGGTAGTTCCATTAACAAGTTTAAAATGCTCTTATGGAGTAAAAGTGCCTTACACTATCAGCTCTTTTCCCAGTATTATCCTTAAACTGGTAAAGTCTTAGACCAGTAGGGTGATAGATAAAATACACTCTTTACCTTAGTGTTGCAATGAAATGCATGTAATAATAAAGTAAACACACATATTTTAATACCTTGTTGAGGCACATGTATTTTTTTCCTCAGTGACTTATGTGCTGGTCTCATTGGGGGTCTCGGAGTGACACCAAGTGGAAATATTGGTGCTAATGGAGTTGCAATTTTTGAATCGGTAAGTTATGTGAGGTAAAGTAGTAATAATTATTTTGTTTCCACTTGAGAACTTAAAACTCGTTATAACATGACTGTCACAGAATCCCATAATGGGTGAGGTTGGAAGGGACCTCTAGAGATCACTAGTCCAACCCCCCTGCTCCAGCAGGGGCAGCCGGGGCACAGGGTGGCATCCAGGCGGGTTTGGAAGATCTCCAGAGAAGGAAACTCCACAACCTCCCTGGGCAGCCTGTTCTAGGACTGTCACCCTCACAGGAAAGTTCTTCCTCACATGGAGATGGAACTTTCTGTGCCTCAGCTTGTACCCGTTGTCCCTTGTCCTGTCACTGGGCACCACCAGAAAGTTTGGCCCCTTCCTCCCTACATTCTTCCATTGTGTACTTACACATATTCATCAGATCCCCTCTTAATCTTCTGCAGCCTAAACAAGCCCTTCTCAGTCCTTCCTCATAAGACAGATGCTCCAGTCCCTTAATCATTTTCATTGCTCTACACTGGACCATCTCTACAAGTTCTTTTCTCTAGTTTTTGCTCCTTTTCCGACATTTAACTAAGTTCTCTGTAAAACCTTCTTCTACTGTGAGGATGCTGAAATGTTACACAGAGAGAGTTGTTAGATTATGTACTATGTAGGTTTTCCATATGCTTTTACTGATCTTTTAGTTTTTGTTTTTTTCTTTTTTTTTTGTAAAATAAACACCCTCTGTAATAGAGAATGTGAGAGCTGCAATTGGGAGATGTTTGGTTTCTGTTTCCTGTTTCTACTGAGGCACATTAGGATGAACTAATTCTCCTTTCCAAATCCTTTTTGAATTGTTCTGCTCTTTTCTGTCTCCTTTCAGTGAAGTAAATCCTATTTTAACATGCTTATGCATGAGAAGTGGCTTAAACATTGAATTGCTTAAGGTGTTTCAGTCAACATATTAGCTTCATAATAGACAGGCTCACTTTTCTTCCTAGGTTCATGGAACTGCTCCAGACATTGCAGGAAAGGACCTGGCAAATCCAACTGCTCTTCTTCTAAGTGCTGTAATGATGTTGCGTCACATGGGACTGCACCAACATGCCACAAAAATTGAAACAGCTTGCTTTGATACCATCAAAGATGGAAAGGTAATATAAGGGTGCACAAATACATGCAATGAATTAAAATCACTCTTTCACAAAAAAAAAAAAATAAAACCCTTAGACCATCAAAACAAGACAGAGATGCCCAGCTGTTCTGGCTGGAGTTAGAGGCAGTGCCAGAGGAGCAGAGGAGGAGATTCCCTTCTCCCTGATAACAGCCAGTATATGACCTGTGGTGGTCTCAGATGTGCCAAGCTCGGTAACAGGGATGCATTCCCTGTGGTTCATTTACCCTTGTCTCACATATCTATGGCTTTAGTTAAATCTAAAATCTGGAACTGTATCTCTGTTTTTCGGGAAGGAAACTGGACATTTAGATAACTTCACAAGTGAAATACTGTTTATAATATATATAAAATTTAAATATATAAATCTGTATCTTGAAGTGAAGGACAATTACTTGCCTTTTATAGGCATAGTCACCTGTCTCTATAGCACAGAATATATATATTCTCTCTCTATATATAATATATATTTAATATATATATAAAGAGAGAGAGAGAGGCAGCTATATATTTATGTCTTCTACACATTCTAGAAGAATGTAATACTTCTTGGTCTGTTTTTTTCTTTTTCCATTCTAAATGCTTTGGTATCTTGGGAACTACAACATAACAGTTAAGGGCAAAATTGTATATAGTATTCATATTTCCCCCCAAGACTGTATGTGACAGTCCTTGGACAGTAAGTGTCCCAAGCTTCAAAACCTCAGATTTTTTCTTGGTTTGTGCCCTGAAGCATGTTGTTGAAGAGGATCAGCAGTTAGTCGTGTTGGTATAATTACCTGGGGCAGGAGCATAAGAAGCTGCTTTATAATTAAAAGTAACAAATGTGTAAATGAAAAGCTGTCCTCTTTTCATAAGTGGTCTGTTTGCAGCTATCATACTGTGAGTAGCAGCCAGTTAAAACAAAAATCTAAACTTACAAGTGACTAAGAGGTGCTCCTGTAAAGTGCCCATTTACTGCCCTGGAAATGAAATCCTCCATCTGCAGGTCAGTAAGTCTGTGGAAGATAACACAGCGCAAGCTTTGTGACATGGTTGCTTGTTCACTAGTTGCTTAAAATTTATGATTATACCTTCATGGTGAAGAAAAGAATGTTTATAAATGGAAAAAAAAGCAAACTGCAGTTAAAACAACACCATCTTAAAATAATAACCCTTTTTGCCTCCTATGCTTGCAATTCCTCTCCTCCACTTCCTACCTCCCCCATGCCATGCAAGAACTGCATGTGTGTGTGCATTGTAAGAGGAAAACTAATGATTTAAATTTACCTCTTGAGGCTGCTTCAGTCTTGCTAGGTTGGACAAGGAATCTTGTTACCTTTTTTATTACTTACCTTACTGTCCAGCAGTAAGATAATTCTTACAGCACCAGAATTGTACTTGATCAACAAGTTTATATCTGTGGTTTTCATCTCCTAACTAAACCAAGCAAACTTAGCGAACTGTTAACATGCAGCATTTCAAGACCTGTCTGTGCCCTTTTTCTATGTAGGGTTCCTTTTACAAACAACAACAAAATTAATGATACTTTTGCTGTTATTTGCCTTTGCATTGAGTCTTCACATATAAATTTGATCTCCAAAGGAGAAACCTTTTATGAAAACTTAACTGCTTTCAATTAAGTACACTTCTGTGGAGCTAAGAAATTTTAGAAGCTGTGGCCCAATTCTCTTTCTTCCTAATTGGACTGAAGGTAAGAGGATGCTGAAATGTTAACACTTTATGATAACATACAGTACTCACTGTTCATAGCCACTTTCTCTGCATACTCTAGTTTTCATAGTTCATACTGATAAAAGCTATAAGGGATGCAGAGTCTCAACTCGATGTGGTCCTTTTTTATTATTTGGTTCCCATGTAGTGCATATATAAAGTTGTTTAGAGGTGAAGAGCTCTTCATTAAACACTTCAATAACATAGTTTCTTCTTCCTTCAGGTGTTGACAAAAGACTTGGGAGGCAACGCCAAGTGTTCGGAATTCACAGAGGAGATCTGCCGCAGAGTACAGGACAAAGACTAAACTTTGCTCATGCTACTTGTAGTAACTCCTAAAGGATACATCACACAGAGTACACTATATGTAACCTGATGTCCATATACATAGTTTACCTCTTCAGAGAGTAAACTTTTTAGTTAGGGCCTCTCCATTAATAAATGTGGCCCAAAGGCTACAAATGCTGCTTGTGCCTGCTTTCAGTGGACTTTTCTAAGTGCTTTGTCGTATTTATTTGTTTTGATCTGATGACTTTTTTCTTTTTTTTTTAATGTCTAGGTGAATTATTTTATTGTTACTGTCTACCATTTTGCTTTACCGTTATAAATGGATTTTACTTTCGAGGAAGAAAAAATGTGCAAATATAATAACAGAATTGGTGAATTGTAACGGCACCTTAATGCTTAAAACCTATTTTATTGGTCTCTCTGAAATGTAAAAGATAGGTTTTCAGGCTAATAATAGCACAAAATGATCTTTGTAAAAAGAAACGGGTATTAAAAATAGCAATTCTGTGTTAAAAGGAATGGAGAAAATTTTAGGTGCTCTGGTGATCCATGATCTTTTGCTCTCCAAGGACATAAATAAAGAAATGAAAAAAAATCTACAGACTTAATCTGTGTTTAAAAAACAAACCAACCAAACAAAAACCAGAAGCAAACTAGAGATGAGAAAGAAGGTAAAATTATTTTTCACAGCTAACTATCCAAGTAATTTTTGGAGGTTTTCCTCTCTGAAACATACTTCAGTTTACCACAGAGTTCTCCTAATGAAGAGTAAATTCTACAATTGTATTTCTGCTATATATTGTGAGGAAGGAAGTATTAACTTTGCAAACTTATACAGAGTATTTCATTCATCATTGAATCATTCATTCATTTCATTGACCTGAAATGCCTTTTGGACTGTATTTTGCTTTTATGCAGAGTCCGTTCAATGTAACTCTGAATATTACAGACTAATCCTAAAGGGATTAAGGAATGTTGAAAGTTGGGCTCTGGTACTCAGGCTACAGAAATATTCTTCATCCCTCTTCCAGGCAATCTGAGACTTTCTTCTGCTGCTGAAGCTTAATTCCTGGTTATAGCCCAGGAGTATAACTACTGTCAGAACTGGCTTAAGGCTTAATTCTGGTAGCAGATATTACTCCATTTTGTTACCTTCTATTACAGTTGCTTAGGCTGATTGTTGCAGAAGTGAAATCCCTCAGATGGGAGTCCAGGGTGCACGAAGGAACCAGGGAGTCTTTTAAGGAAGTTGCTTTTAGTTCTGCTTGGGGTTTAGACTGTTAGGGAGAATAGCACAGACCCACCATGTTTTCTCTCCCCATCTCATTTTCCTAGAAGCCAATTACTACAGAGGATTATTTTTATCAGGATGAAAACATACAGGTATGGATTTGGAGATGTCATACTGTCACATACACATTATTCTGTATTTGGGCTGACAGGCCATGAGAAAATCAAGTATTCCATAATGTATCGCCTTCCTTTTGACTTTATGACTCAAACACTCACCCTTTGTGAGCTTGATCCTCCTGAGTTCCGGGAGCTGCACGGGTGTTTTGCTTTGTAGTTACAGGCACTGGAAGCAGCCATGTGTTGCACAGAGAGTGACAACCCAGAACCCTTAGAAATGCTTGATAATTTTCGCTACGTTCAGTTGTTCAATGAAAGACTGGTTTTTAGCTCCTTCCAGGAAGGTAAGTTGCACAAATGCTTCCGCATAAAGAAACGATGCACCATGATTTGTGTAGCACTGAAGCAGCCACTGCCCTTCGCTGCTGCAAAATCATAGCAGTCTCTTTCCTGCAGTTGGATTTGTGGCCTTTTCTCCACAAGGGATTTAAGGGAAGGCAATGCCCTGCAACCCTTGTGTTTTGATGAAAGAGAAAGACACTGGAGAAGGAAGACCATGCTAGCCCTTGTCGTACCCAGTAGAACAACCTCCTGTCATTCCAAACACTAACAACGTGTTCTGCACAGCTGAAGCCTTTCAAACAGTTTAACAGTTGGAGCCAGCCTCGCTGGTGGACTGTCCATGTGTGCGTTGTTGGCTTGCTAATAGCATCTGTGTAACAGTGATTTTTCTGATCTGAATCATGGTCACACAGAAAGGCGATTCTCCATCTGTGCTGTAACCTGACCTTTCAGCACCTGTCTTGTTTTCTCTGTAAATCAAACTCAGTAGTTAAATGATATTAAGTTATAATCTGTGGCTCCAGTAATTGGAAATCAGACAGCATGCTTTTCATCCAGGGATCCCTAAACACTTCACAGGAATACTATAAGTGTTATTGCATCTGTCTGTGGAGGAAAATCAGACCCAGATGTGACTTTCTCAAAGTTGTTTCTGTGAAGCAGTGCCAAAGCCAAGAATAACAATTGGCCCTCCCTCCATTAAGCCACATCATTTGGCTCTTATACAGAGGTGACACCGGCTATAAAGGCACTTCCATCAAATCTTTAAAGCTAGCATGACTTAACGGAGCTGAAGTGCGTTGGTTGTTGCCCATCCCACTGTTCTCACCCAATAACTGGTCTCTATGGCTAAAGAAGGCATTGCTCAAGGTTCCTTTAACAGAAACCCCACTGAGGCTAAGTACAAGAGCCCACTGACTGTATGAGTGAAGCACAGCAAAGTGCTCTACCTGTTTCAGGAAGCTTTTCACCCTGCCTCCAATCTCCCAGGCTGCATTCAAGCGCATCCTGCCTCCTGCCCCATCACCATGGCTGCCTCATGGGTGCAGGTGCTCCCCACAGAGCAGCAAGGCACAACTCCAGCACAACCCTGTACACAGCCCTGGTGAGGCCACATCTGGAGCACTGTGTCCAGTTCTGAGCTCCCCAGTACAAAAGGGATGTGGAGCTGCTGGAGAGAGTCCAGCGCAGGGCTGCGAGGATGATCAGGGGCCTGGAACATCTGCCCTAGGAGCAAAGGCTGAGGGAGCTGGGCCTGTTCAGCCTGGAGAGGAGAAGGCTGAGGGGGGACCTGATCAGTGTCTGTAAATGCCTCAAGGGAGGCAGTGAGGAGGAGAGGGCGGCCTCTTTTAAATGGTGGCCAGCGATAGGACTAGAGGAAACGGCCACAAGCTGAGGCACCAAAAGTTCCCCAGGAACATGAGAAAACACTTTTTGACAGTGAAGGTGACAGAGCCCTGGAACGGGCTGCCCAGAGAAGTTGTGGAGTCTCCTTCTTTGGAGATCTTTAAAACCTGCTTGGATGCAGCCTGTGCCACATGCTCTAGGTGACCCTGTGTGTGCAGGGGGTTGGACTAGATGACCTCTGAGGTCCCTTCCAACCTTGAGCATTCTGTGATTCTATGATTCTATGAACCGCAGTGCATAGCCCGACACAGCTAGCCGTGCGTTTACTGGGAAAGCAAGGAGAGCCACAGCTGTGTCTTGGGCCAGGTGGCCACAGAGAGCACCATGAGACACCCGTCCCATGCAGATTCCAGGACCAAAGCATCTCCTGAGGACAACTTCCCCGACTTCCAGGGCCGAGGCTAAGGGCTGCCCTCGCTGGCTGGGGGTAGGAGCCGCAAGATGGGGCTCTTGAGCTGCTCTGTACCTGCAGTGCAACTGACTGAAGCCCTTGGCCACTTTTGGCCAAGTACCAAAAGTACGTTTTGGTCCCAATAAATAAAATCTAAATTCAAGTTAGCTACTAACAAGTACAACATTTCAAGTTCACTTGTACCAACAAGTACAACATTTCAAAGTGTCTCAACCAATAAAGGGTTACTCAGGAGCACTCAAAGATGTTTATACCGTATTTTGCCTGCCAAATATTCCAAGCAAAGCAGTTTCACATGCAGCTGCAATTCATTACACTGCTCTTGCCTTCCAATGTCCGCTAGTTACATGGAAACTGGCAGCTAGTTTTGATTACAGGAGTACATTGAACAAAATCATGCTCGCTCTTGCCCCCATCATGCAGCTATTTAAGGCCTGAAACTTTTCCCTACCCTTCTTCTTTAAATCAGAAACTTTTTCTAATTATAATATGTTTGGATGTCTACTGGAAACTCTCTTCACTTTCTGAAACTCCCCTTTCCTATCTACAACAAAGTTTTTCTTAAAATCCAGGTACTACAAGTTTCCAGTTACTTGGACTTAATAAAGTACCCAGTGGGATAAGGATAAGCTCCAGAATTTGCATTTCTGTTTTCACCACAGCTTATTTAATACGGGAAAATATTCAAAGGCAATAAATGAAAGCTATAAGCAAAGGGAACCCATAATGCTCAGAAGCAGTCATTTGGTGAGGCTTAAGAAAGTGTGTGTGAATTATAAAAATGGAGCTAAGAAAAGAGTGCCTACCTTAAGGTTCTTCGGGAAGGTCAAAATAAGTAAAAATATTTAATTGCCAAGGACCTAACAGAAGATCATTACTAAAGATGGTGTTATAATATTAATACTTAACACCTCAATACAAAGACAAGATCAGTTGTTTATGTCTTGTATTCATTCTTACCTTCCTTGCCTTCTTCAAGCACAGTTCCCAAAGACAAACACACCATTCCTTAGCAGCCACCCATCTGCCATCCTGCCATTAGGAAAAATAATAAAAAACTGGTCTTAAACTTGACAGCTTCATATGCCTGGACACAGTTGCTGAATTTTGCTTATACTCTCTTATATGTTATAGCATACAAGGAGTTTTTGATCCGCTACGACTGCCTGAATGTTGGCTTGGTGACATCAGCGGAGCTCTAAGTCCACCCAACTGTAAACTGCAGACCCAGTGTTGGGATGAGGACCTTACAGTAGATATCTGTGCAAAGCTGTCCACTGCAGGGCCTTTGTACCCAGCAGGTGCATAACTAAGACATTAAGGCTGACTGGAGACCAACCTTCTCTTCTAAAGTAAACGAAATGACCTGGTCTGTATGTTTTCCATCTTCTCCTAGGGGTTGTTGTTTCTGTTGGGATAGCTTGCACTGTGGGAGCTGTCATCTTCCTCGCAATAGCCTTCTGGCTATTCCAAAGGAAAAGGTAAGGCATCTTCCTTGTCACATCTGGGGAAAAGAGTCAAACCAAATCCTCGTTCTGACGCAAGGAAGGGCCTGGGTGTCTGAAAACTTCAGTGTATTTTCACAATGGAAATGGTGGATATTTTAGCAGAGATATGATCTTTCCCCACAAGCTTTGCTTCGTTGCTGCCATGGTAGATGCCCTTTCCCCTGTATCAAATGCTCTAAACTAATCTTATCCTATTGAAAGCAAAGGAAAAAAAAAAGGCTAAAAAAATGGGGGTTTGTTTGCTGTGACTTTCATGCCACGGTGGCCATCCATCTGCCGTTTAATAACATTAGCCTCCTGATTGCTTTGATCTTAATATTTATCTTAACAATGTTCATGTAAAACCTTGAAACGCACAATGCCAAGAAACAGGGGAGAGGATGGAACTACCCAGAGAGGACAAGAACACTTTACACTTTA